CCAATCGAAGCCCACGACGCAAATGTCGAAGAGGAACCAAGTTTTCAGGTAGTGCATCAGCGCCCGGCGAGACGATGTGACAAGCACGCCGTTCTCGTAAAATCCTGCCGCACCATGCCAGTTGATCCCAGCGGCAGTGAAATCCCACAACCCGGTTCCATGCCAATGCCATGCTGAAATCTTCAGTTCTCCTGTCTGCGTACTGCCGCAGATATCCACAGTCCAGTAGAGACTCATTGGCAGCATGATCGCAGACAGGTCGGAGCTGGAGATCTCCCAACTCACCATCACCTCGCGGTCACGCTACTGGGGGCCTACCGGGGCCAAGAAGGTCAGCCCAGCGCTTGGGGAAAAAACGACCTCTGCGCATATGGAACTTGCCAAGAGGCTGGAATGGAGATGGCATCGAAGAGAACGCAAAGTAATGCAAAGAAGGACCAAACCAAGCGCGGCGTGGAGTGCGGGTCGACGAGAGCACCTGAGCATCGATGCACTCCTTCCTTGCTCCCTTTCTCAGTCCTTCCTCTGGATGAGCTCTTTCGCAAATGCAAGAACGGCTACGCGTTAAAGTACAATTTGGGCTAGGGGGGAAAGTCAAAACCCCCAGGCGCGTCGGAGCCAGGTGAGCTGAGCTGAGACGTCCATCTTCTCCTCGATATCGATGCTCTGAATCGCATAGATGGAGCGGTTGCCCGGCCGGTGCAGGGAAGCTTCCTGCGATTTTCGCTATTTTCCTTCAGGGCCTGGAAATTCCCCCCCTCCCCAGAATTCGGCGAGGATGGGCAGCCAGGGCTGGCAACGCCAGTCCCAGCGGAAAGAGAACATGGGAACTGCCTCAACTGCACAAGGCTAAGGAAGCACAGCACGGCAACAAGTGCTGGCGTTGGCCAAAGCACGCTCACTCCAGCGTGGCCGGCAGATCCGCAGATCCAAGTGGGTATGGGTCAAAATTAAACTGCCAGGGGGCCGCAGGTTTTAGTCCATGTGTCCATTTACCAGGGTTCCATTTTGGGTACCTAATCTTGACCAGCAAGTGTTGCATTGGCAAGTGTGGCTTGTTGCCGTGCATGGCAATGCCTGGTGGTCCCACTGTCCTCTGCTCTGCTGTTCAGCTCTTCCTTAGGAAGGCATGACATGGTGGTCATGGACTCCTTTGTCTGAACTGAGCTCTTGTTTGACACGGCCGAGACTCCCAAATGCCATAGAGCGCCAAAGACTTGCCCTTCCGTTCCGTGGCAGCCTCTTCAGCACTTCCCACGAACCTCGCACAGCAACGAGCCGAATGAGCGAAGGGCACCAAGCGCGGACCACGATCTGAGCTCCTCGCGCGGCCTGGGTCTTTTGCTCGATCCAAAACTCCTCAGCTCAACGACGGCAATCTTTGAGGCGACGCACGCCCAGTCTGTGCGATGCAAAATGGATCGTGCCCGGAGCCTGGAGCCCTTTGATGTTAACTTTCGGATGCCCAGCTTTAGACAAGCTCAAAGGCGGAAGAATCAAAGGATCCACTTTGCAGGTCTGAACCATGCCGCACGCATTGACAGTGTCATTTGCTGGACCTTCACGTGGAACTGATTCTTTGCGAAGCATCTTTCAGGGAGTCCGGGAGCATAAGGTCATTCGTCTCTGCGGGATCCTGAGGGCTGTGGCAAAATCGGTGAGTTGATGAATGTGTCGTGTGGTGGGCTGTCTTGGCTTCCAACATCGCACCTGAGAAGGGGTCCCTCCAAGAAGGGTCATCCAGGTACCCTCCCACAAATGCTGGAGGGGCGAAATCCATTTCGCACCACCCAAGAAACCATGGAATGATGCGATTCTTCTGGGAATACCAACAAACAATGGTTTCCCATGGTTTCAAAGTGGTGCGAAATGACTTTTTGGCCATCCACAGTATGTTAGTGGGGGGGACGGGCAAGGCGGACCTGGGGCAGGGAGCATAGGCGCGGTCCTCACGCTTCTGCCCGCTATGGGTTTCACCGCTGACGCTGGCGAGGTACTCCTGAAGCAACCGGCTGGTGCACTGCCTGGTCGCGCCGCTGACTCGGGAAAGTTTTTGTTTTTTTCCTCACGACAGCCTGCAAAGCGTCTTGGCCTAATACCCATCAGTCCTTGATCTTTGTGGACCGCTTGCAGATTTCCTGGGACTGAAGCTTGGCATCGGGCAGCCCAACCCTTTCAGCACACACCCTGTGAGCAGCTGTCTCATCTCGGTTGCTCTCTGCTCCCCTGCCAAAAGTTTAACTTGTAGAGGCTTCATGGAAAACCCATTAGTTGGCAAAAAGTTAAAGTCCTAGATCCAAGCAAAATGCACCAAAGGTCTCATCTTGAACCCACTGCCATAGAAGCCTTGCGATTGCAGAATGGCGAAGCCAAGCGGCATCCAAGTCAGCCTCGATCACCCGGACAGCGGAAGAAATGTCCATGGCGCCGAGAGCTCTGCCTTCCCTGCTTGAAGCTCAAGGCGCAAGAAGGCGAGCAGAATGCAAGGCAATTGCCAAGCTGCCAGCCAACAAGTCTGAAAACGATACTCTTAACATGGCACCATATGGCACCTATGCTAGGGCACCTGGAAGATCAGTTTCCTTTTAATGGGACTTTTCAGGTGCCTGGCAACGGTGGGAGAGAGGCATGGCAGACCAATTCTCCCCCGGCATGCGCCTTCCCAGGCGCCGAACACTGAGCCCTTTGCCGGGCCGTAGGCCGTCTCGCAGTGGTCACACGGCTTCTCCTGCGGCTTTCGGATCGAAAGGCCACTTCTCCACTTGTGACTGCGGCTTCCAACTGTCGTCTTAACTGAAGAGCAGACACAAGCTAAGCAAGATTCAAACGGGAACCCTGCTGCCGCTAGAACAACCTCCGCTTCACTGCTTCACCACCCCCCCAAAAAAAAAAGTGCATCTTAGTTTTAGTGTAGTCTTCCTGAAGTCTTACCGTCCCTCTTGTAGTCTGCCCGAAGTCTCCCCCCCATCACGTCTCCAGCAATGTTGGGCCCTTGTTGCTTTGATGCTTGAGTTACTTGCTCAAATGACAAAAAAAAAATAGGGACCTTCCCTTGCTACATTGGTCCTTCTTTGCTACTTTAATTTTGCTAAACCGTTTCACGATGTCTTGTTCTCTTCTTTCTTTTCTGTTACCCTGTCCCGAAACACCCCTCCCCCCGCCGGACGAGCACGCGCGCGTACACTTGATAGAAAATCGTCCCACATGTATTCGGCCCGCCCCGAACTCTGGGGCACCGAGCATCTGGAAGACCGCAGTTCGTGATGACTTGATCCTGGCGCTGACCCATGGCCACAAGGCAGCCGCAGCCCCGAGCCGCCCCACAGCCCCACAGCGCCACAGCCCTGCCTGCGCCCAAAAGAGACACTTGGATCCGCCAATGGCCACCCCCGCCATCTCCTGGCGCAAGCTTTCGGGCAAAGATTGCGTGAGGGCACGTGGGCATTCTGGAACCCCTCACTGTTCTGAGGGGGCCAAGTGGCTTCAACAGCAAGCATCAAGAGCCGACAAATGCCGTCGGTCGCAAACTCTGCTGCTTCCCCCCCCCAACTCTGCCGTCGGTCGCGCCTCCAGGGGCACCTGCTGTGGGCCCAGCATCTTCAGGGAGTAGACGGGCATGCACATGAAGTTTACGCACACCTGGCACGGCCCGCCGGCTCGGAGCCGGCTCGGAGCCGGCTCCCCCTAGCCAAGGGCGTCGCCTGAAAGGCGGCCACCCAGAACTGCAGCACATTCCTGGGGCTTTTGGTCACAAGCTCAGACCCTTTGGAAAACTCCTCAGAAAAGTGGCAGAGAAATCATGCAACTCAAGTTCCGGAAAAGAGGGCTCTGGGTGATATCTCTTGGTCATACAATGCGAAAACATACCTGCTGCCTTCTCCTTTCTGCACTTTCACACATTTGACACAAACCAAGCTGCACGTTGAGGTCGCCGTCGAATCCGCGGAAAGCAATCTCCTGGAGCAGTGCTCACGTTGAAAGGCCGAGCTGGAAACTAGCCGTGTGAAGTCAAGTGACATCCATGGGCCAATGTGCGGCCTCCCCTCCCACCCCCGTAGCCGCCTTGAATACAGTGGAGACTGCTTGGGGCAATATGGCCAGGCAGAAGAAGACGTTCGACACAGGCCAGTTCTGCTCCTGGAGGCAGTCTTCACAGCTGGCTGCATTGCAACATCGAGACCCTCCTGTCTTTGAAATGTGACTGATTTCTCTCGCCAAGTGGTTGCTTTTTGCAGCTCACTTGAGTCGCAATCAAAACCTGCTACTAAAATGGTCTACCCAGAACCATGTACAGGATTAAGAAGGCGGCCGCAGCTATTTATGGCTGGGATCGTCCCTTACTAACCTTCATCAATCCCCGGGTTTTGAGCACGTGCCTCACTTTTTGGGATTTGTTCTGTACAGGACCCCAAGCCTGAGACGGGCACCACATAATGACCAAGCAGCCCGCGCCGCGTTGCCATGTCTTTGTCCGCTGGGCTTGCTACCTCGCTTTCAGCTTGAACCCACGTCATCTGCCAGCACCCCTCCTCGAGGATTAGGATTGCGGCCTATGCGTGGCCCGACAATGCGCGCCAGGGATATGACCGTGTGAGGGCTTGTTGCCTCTACGGCCATCTAAGGGCGGCAGCCTTTCGCAGCTCCGAAGCAGCCACACGATTTCTGCACGGACATCTTACCTGGTCCACGGAACCAATTCGGAAACAATGGGCCGACCAACGGGAGTTGGGCAAGAGAGCTGCCTGGTCCAAAGCTCACATTCTACATGAGTGCGTGAACTCTCTGCCGACGAACTGATTCACGCCGGCCAAAGCACTCAGCTCAGTAGGTCACCACCTCTGCAAGTGACACATCGGCAATCTGACTAGCGGCAGCGCCCAACTGTGCCCCAGTCATAAACCAAACATGGACCAAACAGGCCAGCGGTTTGCATTGTCCATTGCTCTCTTTTTGAAAATGAAGCTGGGGGGCAACATGCACGCTCCGCACTGTGCGAAACA